GATGATGGCATCCTAGAGAAATCTAGGGCAATCCTCAAATGTTATAGGTATTTACAATGTTTATCAGTTTCCGGTTTGAAGTAGGTTTTTTTTTTTTGTTAAAAATGTATTCTTATTTCTCTTCCTTCCTCTTTTACTTTCGAACTGAACTGAAGAAACTTCTTTTAATCTAAACTAATAATTTAAAATTAAATCAAGTAGTTACGTCGTCGTATATTATTATTTATTTTTATGTGAAATTGCCAAGTTAGCAAGCGGTTTAGCTTTGAGCTGATGTTTAGTGATTACTGCCGCCCATGGACATAATATGCAACATCCGAGGAGTTGTGGATACGTTGAGTACCTTTCAAAAAGTGGGCCCCTGTTAACCTCAATCACCGGACGAATTGTTAACTAAAACAGAACAAAATTTGATATTTTATATTACAGATATTTTGTTAACGCACCCGGATTGAAGCTTCAATGAATGTATTACAATTATCGTAGCTTCAGTCAAAGTTTTTTAATACATTTCATAGTTACTTTATACAAGGCTTTCAAATGTTTATTATTTTAAAAAAAATATTTTTTTTCTACGCTAATTAAGTGCGCAAGTAACAGATACTTACGCACTTAATTCACGGTGGAAACTTATTTTGGAGGACAAAGGACTTATTTTGGAGTAAATAAATCGTACACAGCATCATTAATTTTGTTTTCCACTCAATAACCATACAGCAAATTACATGTGTAAACTCTCTTTGCCTCTACATTTATCATCAGTCAGAGTCACTGGAAGATAATGTTTAGAGGTAACGGACTACGAGTGCCTCCAATTAATTAAGTCCGATGTAGATAAGCCACAAAACGTTACCTGCGTCAAAGCAAACGAGATTTGCCTAATTGCTTAAAGATAGATATCGCGCTGTCTCACTCAGGACCGTAATACAAATGGAGCTTTATTCTGTGCACTATCATTATTGACTTTATATCGTTGAAACTATTTGTTTTTTTTAATGTTATTATAACATAAAAAACAGTGGCAAACGTGTTGTCGGTTCACCTGATATTAAGTGACCTGATATTAAGCGCCGCCCACGGACATTTGCAACACCGGTTGCAGGTGCGTTGCCACCTTTTAAAATGTGGGCCCCGGCTACCTCAATCACCAGACGAAACGCAGAAGTGTAACGCTTCTACTTTGAGGTCGTGGTACTAACCCGTGGGAACTGCCCATTCGTGCAACAGCGAACACTGTTGCGTGGTCCTACCACAGTGATTGTTTGTATTGCTAATGTCTGATTTTAGTATAAACGTCAATAACGTAAATACAACATATCTATTTTTTTTAGTTTACCACAATGGTGACGTCATTTTACTTCAAAGAATTGTTGAGATTAGCTCGTGCGTTAGCTCGTTGCATTGTAAAAAAAAATCAAAGGTAAAAACCTTTGATTTTTTTTTTGATTTTTTTTGTACACCAAAAGGTGTACAAAAAGTGAAGATTTTAAAGAGACTGATTTGTTGTGAGCTTTGCTTTATACAGATGCAGTATAACTAAAAGAGAGACCCAGATCTGACATTTCTATACCATACTACCTTATTACAATCCAGGTAGGATTATTAGGGTAAAAGCTCTTTTTCATAATCTCGGGAGTATGGAGGCGCCGCGACGTCTTTCTGAATGTCCCCGGATGGATCTACTATGGGATTATAGATATTTAGCAACCATTTGTGTTCGTTGTACATTTGCCCCTAATAACTGTGGAAGGGCCACGCAACAGCTTCGGCTGTTGCACGAATGGGCAGGCTCGTCCGGGTAAGTACCACGACCTCACAGAAGACCGGCGTAAAGTGGAAGTATAATACTTTCGCCTTTCGTCTGGTGAATGAGGTAGCCGGAGCCCAATTTCCAAAAGGTTGTCAACGCATCTGCAGCCCTCGTGTGTAGCAGATGTCCATAGGCGGCGGTATTCACCTAACATTAGGTGAACCGCCTGCTCACTTGGCAACTTTTTACATAAAAAAATACCTTAACTGCGAATAGACAGCAAAGCATTGGTCGTCATATCCCGATCTCCTTAATCAGTCGTTAAGGTATACGACAAATTGCTTTGTGTGTTGATCGTCTAGGGCGGTTCTAAAACACGGAGGCAAAGGCGCAAAAGTTATAAAACGCAGCGGAATTACTATATTTCTTACCTTATATTTAGTCTTGGAAAATTCACTCTTTTCATTATGTTTTATTATCAAAACATTTTTTAAAAAAATAATAAATTCAACATAGCGAAAGTAACAGTTATTATTTTTTTCAAAAGGATTTACTTATGACCAACAGAAGTTACTAAATATAAACATAAGTAAAATAAATTGTCAAAACTTTCGTCTTTTCTTTTATGTAATATAATTTTCTCATCATCTTCTCGATGAATATCCCTCAATGTTTGAAGACTAAAATCTTTAATCAATGTGTGTTGCCAGCGATGAGTAACGGAACTAAGACTGGGTCCTTCACTGCTGGCCGTATGAGCAAGGTCAAAGTTGCTCAGCGAGATATGGACCGGGCTAAGGTCGGGATTACTCTGCGTGATAGAGTCGACCCCACACCAGATGGAATGTTGACCAATGCAAATGTGTGGGAAGTCGATGGATGCAAGTGGCTCAGTGCTTTGGGGTATCTATCTATGAGGCCTATGTTCAGCCGTGTAACAGGCTATGATATTGATGATGATACATGTGTAGAAATTATAATTCAAAACACGTCGCAATTGTTCCTAAAATTAAGGTATATAATACTAAAGTAATGTAATCAAATATCTAAAATGACTTCATAATTATTGTTACGTTGTACGAGTCCGTCTTTGCCATTATAAAACTTTTCTTCATTTTCATTTTTCTTTCTTTTATTAGCAGCACGTTTATTGGTATCTTTTCCTCTAGGAGATTTTTACATTATGTATTCAACAAGATAATGAAATGGCCTCCTTAATAGATTTTCATATAACAGGATGTCTAAAGAATTTAATATGTTCCCAGCTGTTTCATTTTCTAATAAAGTACCATGATCAATCACCGAATGGAAGTGTTTTAATGTTTAATTAAATATTCATCAAAAAAGCTATATTTATTCAAGTATAAAGTTTTTCAGTAGACTTCACTATCTTTCATTTAAACAATATCTCAATAGATAGTATTGTCATACAATATTTATAAAAATGTGTAAACAAATTATTTTTTTATAAGAACAATAACTTTATTCTACTTGTCTATTTTTTTAAAGCGGGAAACATAAGGTTTAAATGATGCCTAAATCAATAAATTTAATAAAGAATTATGAAGCGTTCCAACAAAGAAAGATACATAACTTAACGACAAGGAGAATCCAAATCTACACAAAAGATAAATGAAATGTAATGTATGTAAGGTATGACTTTACTTTGTAACAAAGATTATTTTTTTAGTTCATACAGTACAAAAAATGTCACAGAAAAAGTATGAACTTACGTAACGTCTATTTTTATATTTTATTTATAATCATAAAGAAACTTTGCCTTATCTTGAAGACTTTACTTAACATCTACCTTTTTTTAAACGTTTACTTTTAGGGAATTTTTATTTGAGTCTAAGAATTAATGTGAATATGTGTTTTGCTAAGCTAATACATTTACCGTCTAACCATGACTAATTCGCAGTATCTCAGTTGGGGTAGGAATGTGCAGGAAAGCCCAAAATAATGTTGACAAACTTTTGATTTCTAAAGCTAAGATATTCTGTTAAAAAGTCTGCTCTCTCCGTAAGCTTGACATTTGTCGGTACTTCCCAGAATTTAATCCTTATAAGCGATAGGATCAAATGTTCCAATGGCGTTCCATTCCTGGTCAGAAATATAGATTTTTCAAAAAACTTATCATTCAATTTTACGTTTCAACAAACTTGGGCCTGAGATTCCTTTGAATGTTATTCGCTATACCTCTCAGGTTGCAAAGGCCAAACCCTCCACGGTCACTTGAAAAATTCATTACGTTTTTAATTTTGTTGATTCCTTAGAACACTAATTTTATGGAATATTAGAGAATTTCATAACTAGATTTATTAGAGCCGTGATAGCTCAGTGTCCGGGCGCTCGCCTTTAATTCAATATACTCGAGCAACCTGAGTTCGATCCCCGGTGCCGGCACCAATGAAGTTTTTAACTTTAAGTGCTGACTTATCACGTGCTCCGCGGTGAAGGAAAACATCGTGAGGAAACCTGCATATTTTCGAAATAATAACAAAAAAAATATTTCGAAGATATGTGAAGTCCGCCAATCCGCAGTGGGGCCGCGTGGTGGACTATGCCCTGATACCCTCTATATAGAGGAGGCCTTTGCCCAGCAGTGGGACATGTATAGGCTGTTACTTTACTTTTTCAGAATAAACTGTATCAACAATTAAATTGCACGGGGAAACATACAGAACTATTCTATGGTCTTCTGGATGAGTCGAAGATCAGATCTTGTCTTATTCGTTACAGAATACCCGTTATTTATGGAAAATACGTTTAAATAGTATTAACTATACTAACCTATTAATGTTTTGTTGCAGGTAAATAATATATTTTTGAAAAGCTGAAGATGGCTAATGAAATGGATATACCAAGCGTCATCTGTCATATTTATGAAATAAGATGAATTGCAAAGGAATAAAAATGAATTTAGAAGATGTGAAATTGTACGCACCTAACAATGAATGAATTAGAATTCATACAGCAGGTTACTTTGTCTGCATACATAGAGTTCAATGACACAGGTGATTTTTATTGGGCAGCATCGAAGAACAACTCGGAAAGAAACTATAACACAACTGAATTGAGTAATGTCTTAGAAAATAATGTGACAATATTCATAGAAAGTGAACCAGTGAATAATTGGTGGGCTTTAATTGCTTTAGCCTTAGTGCTTTGTACCGCAGCGGGGAACGTTTTAGTTTGCTTAGCGATTTACCTGGAGAGAAGGCTTCAAAACGTTACTAATTATTTCCTTATGTCCCTGGCTATAACTGATTTACTGGTTGCGGTGCTTGTTATGCCGCTTGGAATATTGACCCTTGTTAGAGGTAAGTTTGATTTTATTTATGTGGGACGCATTTACAAAGCGGCCAAGAAATGTAGTTCGTACATTAATTGCCTAGTTTTACTTAAAAGAAGGTAACAATAAAAGAATAAGGCAATATAAATTCAATAAAAAGGATATAAAACGTTCTTACGAGATAATAATTAAATTGCATAGCAAAATATAAATATATTGAAAAGTATTAATAAACTTCTACATTAGACGTAATAACGTAAAAGATCTTTCGTTTATTAACGTATATCGTAAAACATCTTTCCCCCTTCTTTCATTCTTTAATGACTTAATTTTATACCTAAGCTCTATAGGTGACTTAAATTTTTACTCACTACTTACGTAACTCGTTTCAGAAAATGTTATTTTTAAATAAAATTTGTTAATGGGGAAAATAGAAACTTCGATAGTCGTTGGTCTTTATAACTTTTAGACATAAAGTGTTCAGAATTAGAAAAAAATTATATAATTATATTGCACATTAACTGCGTACCTGAACTTTTATTACACTAATTATCTTTTGAAATACACCTCACTATCGTTTCTTGCTCTGTTGAGATAAAATTTAAAAAAGCTTAGTACTTTTTGGTGTCATTTCATTCTCGTAACTTATTTCTAATAAAAAATCTATCTACTATGTCTCTTTATACTATAACTAGTCTATTGACAGCTTATTTGAAATTTGCAATTCGCCAAGTTTTTAATATACAACATTTATTCATTTATATTAAAACTTAAAAAAAAAACAATAAAAAGCATTAAACCACTAAAATAAATCTATTTCTTACACTACAGATTTAGAAGCAAGTTTGCTGTTGACGAGGTCACATTTAAAAGCGTTGTTTGTCTGCTTATATCGATCGGGTTATTTTCGTTCAAATGTCTCATGATAAATTAATAATATACTTCAAGATTCAAGCAAAATTCCGACTCTAAGACACATTATACAAATTAAGTTTAGTTTTTATGGAAATGTTTCCTCAATGACTTTATAGAGCGCTAATAATGCAATAAAAACGAAACAGATAAAGCGTTGATTTTCGCTTTCATCCATAATCGACCGCATAAAATGCGCCTTCCGGGTGACTCGCCAGGATGCTATGCTGTGTTACCCGGAAGCCGCATTTTTGAATCATAGTAGCGGGGAATTATTTTTCGATAATTTATCTAGACATTATTATTAACAGCCAGCTGCTGCCCGCGACTACGCCTGCGTAGAATAGGTTGAATTCGTAACATTTAGACATAAAGACAGATATACATAAAATGTGTATACATACTATAGCCTATGTCTTAATCTGATGTATAATCTATATTATTGTAAAGTTTCATTAAAATTCATTCAGTGGTATTTGCGTGAAAGAGCAACAAACATCCATCCATACATACAAACTTTCGCCTTTATAATATTAGTAGGATAAGTAAGGATTATCTTTGACGTAATTTATTTATTAAAATGACACATAACAATTTTTTTTTATAATAAAATTGCAATCATCTTTACACGTGTCTGTCATGCATATTTATAGGACGCGGAATAACTGCGTGAGCCAAGAGTAATTTGAAAATGGAATAGTGATATAGGACGTTGTTCAACGGTCTTTTATTACATTAGATTGCTTTTCAAAATTATTTCATAGGCCACTGCAGTTTTGCTTCTTTTTACAAAATAACTAAATATTTATTTCTTTCCCTCCGGTTATGGTTGAGAAGTGGTACCCGATATAGTTATTAGTTTAATTTTGAGCTTTTCAAAATTACAGGTATTTACAAAAGCACCTACCAATAACGCTACGTTCAATTAATACACGATTAAATAAAATTATTGAACGCACCCGACAACGAAAACTACAAGATATTCATAATCATCATAAGCATTTCAGCTTATCTAGATTGCCACAAAGCACGATCCTCAGTCAACTGTATCTATCGATTTTCCGTACACTTACATGCGTCTACTCCAATGATCTTTTAATAAAGACGACGCATGTCCATACAGCGCGCTGTTTAAAATTGTTCCGCTTTATCACATGATTTATATAAGCGAATGTGACGGATAATATAGAAAGTATTATACGGAAATAGAAAGTATATGATATAGAAAGTATTATATTATACGGGAACAGATAGCAGTCTATAGAGTTGCAATGTAAATAAATAGTACCTGGAATACCAAGCTTTGCTCGGTTTTTTTGTTGGTAAATCATGTATTTTGGAAATAAAAATATAAAAAAAATGATCTGGTATAGAAAAAAAGTATTTCATGAAAATCGCTGGAGCCGTTTCCGAGATTCCGATTATATATATATACAAGAATTGCTCGTTTAAAGGATAAGATAATATCATTGTTGTACTCCATATAGTGCCCGGGGGAGGTGGAGGGGGGGGGGGTCATCCTACTCTGCCATTGCTAATAGGCTAATACTATCAATCACCTTCCTTCCCGCTCGGTTACTGGTTCTTCAAACTTTATGGCTGGCCCCATTCAACTTAGCTAACTTATCCTTTGAGCTATGGTGGTTAACTTTGTTCTACTGCGGAGCTCTGCATTGGGGTGCGGAGATCTGAATTGAGAAATAGGGATTAACCCACCCTAGATTCCGCTGGGCAACATTGCAACATTGAGCTTCCTCACACGACCAGTAACTAAGGACCACGTCTCAGTTCCATAGGCAACACTCGTTGATTGAAGAATTTAGTCTTAAAACATTGAGGGATATTCGAAAGTTTCCTGAAAGCTCCAAATTGATTTCGCCGATTGACCTCTGCGTCGAGGTTAGACATACGTATGATAAAACGCATTGCTTCCACATATTTCCAGGTGAATATGTTTGTAGTATTAGACGGTAATCCAATATACATTGTACAACTTGACGGCTGCCGCTCGATTCAATGGAATTGAAAACTTAGCTAGAGCAGAACATACAGTTAGATGATACTTGTCGGTCATCTGAATAATCTGTTGCAGAAAACAATGAAGTCATTTCGGAATCCGACTTGTTCGAGTGGCTAGAAGTCGTCAAGTCGTGAAGCGAGTCAAAAATTATGTCTTCGTGACACTGGTGTCAGAGTATTAGCTGCGGCTATTTGTGTTATCCATCGGCATTTTTTTCGAATCTGGGTGACCAAAACATCCTTGGGATAGTTAGTCGCTGGTGGTACAACAGGTTCGAAGAGTTTTGTGTCCTCTCTTTGTCTTCGGACTTAATATAATCCTATTATATCCCTACGAAGTGTTTTTACATTTCCTTCCAGTTCTTTTATCCGCAATGCTCTTGCTATGTATGTAGTCAGATCCAGTCGTCGTTGTAGGTAGCCGAATTCCAGTCGCAAAAAACTTACCTCCCGTCCTAGCATAATTATGTCAGCTACTACAATCAGATATAGAGCGTCAGGGTCAGGCTTTTATCATAATTATCACGCTCGGTTCTGGCCAAGGTTGGTAATCGCAGTTTTTCCAGACTAATCGTACCTTTACGCATCTGCCCGTTATTGGTCTGAATATTTAAGGTCTAGAACATCGAGTTGGCTATTCCGTCATCTATTGATTGCAGCTAGTTTTTTGTGGGATATTGCTTTTTCGCCTAAGAACCACCGTATAATAACCACCGCATGACTTTTGATGGCGTATTCTTACGTCACCGCGTCATGACTAGATGAAGACTATAGGATCTTTTTGCGTAGATTGCAATAAAATAAATAAAAAAATAATTGACATTAGGATATAAAATAACTTAGCCCCGTGCCTATGATACCTGTAAAGTTTTCAAAACATCGGCCATTAAAATCAAAATAAATTGTACGATTGATTTGGTAGATAAGATCAGTACTCCATATATTTTATTTTGTAGTAGAGAAATTTATATCATACATAACGAGCGTTATAACGGGCGTTCGAATGCCTACAAGTGCCAATATTTTTAGCTGATGACTAACATCAGGTGTTTTGTTCGTGACATCTAAAAAGTGAATTTAGGGTGCGTTAGCAATATGGGCGTGAAAAATAACTATTCCGTCATTAGTGTCCGATTTCATTTAGCTATTATGTATTGTGTGACCATTTTCTTAGAATACATTGCGTCATACTTGAATCGATTGTATTTTTAGTTGGATAGTACATGTATCTATAAGATATAACAATTTGTATGCTTTACATTTACCGTAATCATGATCGTGTTTCATTACTCTTTGTCCTTGAAAGCTCCATTGTAAAGATTTAAACATTTGTTTCGTCCCTTGGGTATTAAAAGTTTATTTCTAGAAACGCCAATGTCTAGAAAAGAACAAACCGTGTTTAACGAGGAAGAGAATATTCTCGGGGTCCTAATTTAGCACGCCTTTTATTTTTTCTATAAATAGATTGTTTTCCACTTTTAGATAAACAAAGGTTACTTGATATCATCCAGAGAAATCCGGTAATTTCGCAAATTATACATGTTTTTATACCTTTTCAAACGAAACAATTATTTCAATTGACCATTTTATAAATGACGGAGTTCCTGACGCCATATTGTTTTTGAAGTTCAGTTCATTATTATTACATTACAGTTCAGTACATTACAAATCACTTGTTTTTTCACAAAATTATTTTCATTAAATTCGGAGCTACTCACTGCTACATTGCTCGCGCTTTAATGACGCCTGAGATTTTTTTTTTATTGGATCCTTCACTGTTGGCCTTTAGGAGGCCTTTAGAGATCGACCAGGCTTGAAGTGGCCGTTGAGGGCGCCTAGTCTAAACCTCGTTTATGAGTGACTAAGCTCGAGGGCTCCTAAGGGAGCCTCACTTGGGCCGTCACTTTACTAGTATTAATAAAGCATTAGGAGACCACCAACTTCTTAGGACGCTTTGGTCGCTCCATGAAGTAACCAGCCGTAAGGACCCCGGACAGGGGACCTCGGCTGGGGCTGTTACCCAATGATCGTAATGCGAAATGCATTACGATCATTAAGTAACAGCCCCAAAATTCGCGGGTGCCCGTAACTTAGCTCGATCGTTAGCTGTTGTTGGGCTAATTTTACATAAATACAAAGTGTTGTTGCTGCGATATACATTAATACGAGTTTCTTTTATTATTTAAAGATAAATGAACGATTTTTTTATTTAAATTGCATTTATATTGTGTCATATACAATTATTACTAAGCCGCGATTCTAAATTTATTGCTGTTATAAATGTCTTTGCTCTACAGGTTACTTTCCTTTGCCAGCAGTATACTGTCTAACTTGGATATGTCTGGATGTCCTTCTCTGCACGGCGTCCATAATGCATCTCTGCACAATCAGTGTCGATAGGTAAGTAAGATTTGAAAAATAAGTTAGAAATATTGTTTTATAGACTAATGAAAATGTTAGCAAAAACATAATGGATTTTTAGCAATACAAGCAAATTTTTACACAAATATACTATTTTGCTGCTTTCGCGGCACATGAGCGTAATTATTTTACTTATTGTTTATTTTTATCAGAATTCAAAGTCATTTTGTAGAAAAATATGTCTATCTCAACAACGGGGCAGCAATTTGTTGAGATCTGTAATGCAAATTTGAAATATTAAGGAATCCTCCTATAGGATCGTTTCTACTTCGGTGTTTTTAAAAAATCATATAAATTAATTAATAAATATAGTTCTCAATACTAATGATGAATACTCTCACCGTGTGTTGTATTTCTCATCACAGGAATATTAATAAAAAATTAAAATTTCATTAAAATTTTTAGATATTTGTCCTTGCGATATCCCATGCGATTTGGAAGAAACAAGACTAGGAAGAGAGTAACTGTCAAGATAGTATTCGTATGGATTTTGTCAACAGCCATGAGCCTCCCCTTAAGCCTCATGTATTCAAAGGTACGTTTATTTTAAGTACAAAGTAATAAGTAACTACTTTATTCATTCTGTATTGTTGAACGGTTCGAAAGCGTTGGGATAAATCGCTTTTATTTCTGTTTTTCCCTTTTTTAATATGGGCTTTTAATTTTTATTTTAAGAAAGAATTTAATGAAAATATTATCTTATACATTTATAAACATGGATGGAATAGAAAATACGGATTCTTCAACCGAATAAATTATATGTCGAGAAATATAAAACTATAAACCTCAATAATAACTTATTTGATTAACTTACTTGATAACTTACTTGATTAACGAGTACGTTGAACTGTAATAAAACCTATTTTACGGTTTTTATCGTTCAATTTTATTTTCTAATCCAAACAATTTTGAACACGACATCACCCGTTATCAAAAATAAATACTTTGGAAACGTTTTATATCAATTCATTTCAATTCTCCCCTAATGCCGGCATCCCTTACCATTTGCCAGCCAATAACCACCTTCAAACTTTACAGAACGAGGAGTCGGTATTAATAGGGGGCTCTTGTCAAATACCGGATCCATTGTACAAGGCGATCGGATCGGTGATCTCGTTTTACATACCACTGGGCGTGATGCTGCTGACGTATGCGCTGACTGTGCAGTTGCTGGCCCAGCAGAGGAAGGGTCTAGGCCCTGGCTGGGCGACTGGCTGGCTCGGTGCGCCTCCAATCGGTATTACTTATCATCATCATCGTTTAAGCCCGTTTTATTTTCGTTTATTTATTTATTAACGCTTCATCGTTACACCTTAGGCTAAGGGCTACTGAAGAGTAAATATAAGAAAATAAATTTTTACATGCAATTATAGACATAAAGGTTGTACATACATATTTACAGCGTGTCGCTACTAACGCGACCATAAATCAATACATATATAGAGGATACCTTATTAAAATGATATTAAACATGTAAATTCTTTAAACATCAATATTTACAGAGTTATTAAATTTTACAAAACAAACCATTTAAAACACCCGTACTTATAAAATTGTAACGTAAAGTTCATTCGTAAAGGTCACAAAGCATATGAATGAGTTAAATGAATTTAAAAGAGATAAAACATACTGTTAGAAGGAGAGATTTGTAATGCGACGCTGCGACAACGAATCAAAAAGTATCTGAATATATGAATTAGTCAGTTGTAGTTGTAAAAGACGTTACAAATTATGTTTCTTTTTTATTTAATTAGTTTGTTTAAAAATTTTTTTTTTTTTTTTTATTGATGATGATTATTGGCAAGTAGCTTTAGACGTGTGTTCCTTTATTGTCGCGGTGGTGACGACACGCTGTATATATATGTCTTCTCTACATACTTCTCACACTACAATGATCGATACGAAGCTGCCTTGAGAACCTTTCTTACCCACCGTCTATCGATTATTTATATAGGGGAATAGTTAATAATGAACTTAAAACGCCGCTTACACATCAAATTGTATGCAAATAAATAATTTTAGCACAAAATCAAATGACATTTTATCGATTGAATGTGATTTTAAAGTTCACAACATTAAATGTGATTTTAAATATGTGAATCACAATGATTTTATGGTAATAAACATACATTCCCAGAGTTTGAATAAGAAATACGTTTATTACGAGCGTACCCCGTCGCAGCTAATGTACCTCTCCCGTTCAATATTGTGATTTATTGTTTTAATAAAGTCACAACAGCTGAATACATTGCCAGTTTTCTTTCAAAGCTGGGTTACATAGTTTTTGCTTATTAAAACTATTTCACGCTTTATTACACATAAATGTCTTAAGGGGCTTCAAGAGTAACATATCTGATAAAGCCCAACGCGGTCTGATGCTTATGTAATCAATTTATTCGTAATATTTTCTTAATATGAAAATTCTGTATGCTATATCATTTAATTACTTCATGAATGCCAACATTATTGCACTATTAGAGACAAAAATAGTTAAAGATACTTCAATTTTTTTTAGTGCCATTACTATTACAGGCTCTGACAGCGTGTAATATTATGAGCAAGAAAAAACAAACTTAAAAAAATTGAAAAATCAAAAAGCTTATTAAACATAAATTACTTAAAATAAAAAATAATTAAGAAAGAAAAGACGATAAAAACAAATTGAATTAAATATAAGTGTAAAAGTGGAGTAAGAACACTTAATTCTTAATCTTTCAAATTCCCTTAAAATAAACGTGTTTTTTTTTTTTTGATAATAAATAAAACAAAAATAATTATCAATAAAAAAAAACATTGATTAAGATAATTAGGTATTTTCGGAAAACAACTGCAGCAGTTTTTCCCTAAGCTTGACAACATTATTTTAAAAAAGTCTGTCCTCGAAATCCTCTCGTTCTTACAAGCTGTTTGTTCACATTTGGTAGAGTCGGTAAATCAGAACCACGCGAGAATAGCATGGATCACGTTAGATTTTGGTATAAATTAAATACAATAATTAGAAATGTTAGAATTGTGTCTTTAGAAATGCTCATACTTTTATTCCATATTAAAGAAAATAAAATGTTTAAAATCGAAATAAATCTAATATACTCTACATGCTAAATTTTAATAAATTGTTTTGGAAATAGATCGTCGATGTACTTGGAGGAGATTTCTTGCACCGAGGGGTGGTACTCCTCAGCATTCTGCGGCTTCTACAGAAACCGAATTGCCCCCTATAGACACAAGGGACCTTTGGCTTCAAGATACAAGGTACGGTCTGTCTTTCATTAAAATTTAGCTTAACAATGTTTTTCTGACACGTGTGTAATATTTGAGAGATTGGAACATGTAATGAGGTTGGAAAAGTTATTAAAATCTTTAATTAATTTAACTCTTAGTCTGTATTGTGTTGAAATGGCTACATCTTAAAAAAATATTTCATTAGAGGCTAATAAACAGAAAGTAATATCATATTTTCTGTTTAACTGTAGGTAAGTTTAAAAAGCTATACACTACTTGGAAAATTTTACCGTTTATCAATATTCAAAACATCATTTAAAAAATAAAACCGCGCATTTGATAAAACACGTGTTTCTTAAATTCTCTATGTCAAGCAAATATACACATCAAAAAAGTCTAAGCAACACGATAAATTATTTACAAAAATTATATTCTTAAATGGTAAACGCAAACTTTTTAATCTGAATATTAATTATAACTAGAATTTTAAAAAATTGATTTTTTTTTGTTTCACATTAGTGGATGTTGGTAGTTGAGAAGTTGAATAGTATTGATTGAAAGTTATGGCTACTTTTAACTTTACAACAATCACTATTTGTAAACCTAAACAAAAACATTATGCAGCGACGACGACATTTAACAAGTGATGGAATTTAAAGACCTGTAAGAATGCTGCAAATTGAAAGCAATTAATCGGAGGTGAAGCGAGGTTGGTGAAAACCGAAGTGTACTTAGCCGTCGATGGCGCCGTTACACCAAATCTGGGGACCTCGCAGAACAGCCTCATCGAAATTGAAGTCGTCTAGAAGCACGATGCAGGGAGGTCGGATGGGATAAGATACTGATTTAGATTTATACACTCAAGAAGCTTAAGGTTCTATCGAAGTCCCGAAAAAGGAAATTGATTCTTACAGTGGATCAATAGTAATGGCTTGGGCGGGAATTATGAAGGACATACCAACTGAGCTCATTTACATAAATGGCAACTTCGACGTTGATTTTTTATTTACGTCAAAGGCTTTCAAAGTTGCATCATCTTTTTCTCTCCACAGAGTGTTGGCTCAGATTTTACTGTGGTGCTCTTGTAGGAGAAACATTCAATTTAAATAATATTATTCATGCTATGTTATAAAAATATAAATCTTTTGCAACTTTTTTCCTTTTTTTTTATTGTAACTATACTTTGAGTAATTTTTCTTGCATAATGGTCATACTATAATTTTCGTTTTTTTTTTAGTAAAGAACTGTCATAATTAAATTGTTTAATAAATATTTTAATCATTACCTATATTTACAATATACAAATTCTGCCTGATAATTAAAAAACACTCACTAGGAGATAACTTGATGTTGCTTAGACTTTTTTCTGTAGTATGCACAAAAAAATTCATATAATTGTAGTATAGTTAATAAGATTTCTGAAAAAAATCGATAAATCATTACATAAGTAAGGAAACTCTTTTATACAAATTACGTATTGTTGGAATAAATGATTGATTCTGCTGAACCAATTATTTGCGCTAATGTAATGTAATGTTTCTCTATAATATTTTCATATGCATGAATAGTAATGAAGATTTATTTTATCTTTTATAATTGGCATTAGGGTTAATGGAAAAACTTTTATTGCTACTATAAACAAACTCTTATTTGCATGTTATTTAGAAACACGTAAATATTAGCAAGCACTTCACTCATATTTTAAGTGTACTTGGCGTATTGTAAAAATAGTGGGACTCATTATGAATGTGAATTGCATGCAGTTTTTTTTATTTGCAAGCTTTAGCTTAAATAGCTTAGCAAAACTCTCATATGTATTGCTTTAACTTACAATATTCTTTGTAATCTGAAACCTTCTGAAACTTTAAAATTCTAGAAAATTTTAAGCTACCAACAAAGGAAAAGAATCACAAACATACAAAAAAGTGTACAGACTCAAAGCTTTATCTACGCGTAGCTTGTGTTTCGTTTGTTTTAGTGAAAGTCTTTTGATACATACTTGCCTTTTTTTATATTTTTATAAGCATACCGTACAACTGTAAAAGCCATTTTATGATAAAACGGTAACGTTTGTCATACAGTTTTTTTTTCTGTTCTAACATAGACATGAATATTGAAGTTCGATAGAATATGCTGCAATGTTCATAATTGTCCAATGTTTCATTCTTATAACCATCGCCTGTGTCGTCTATATGTCTCGATGTGTAGTGACCATAAATGTGTTGTGTTGCACAGCGAGCCCGCTCCGTCGGCAATGAGCGCACTGCATCACTTTGGGGCAGAAATGTTGCGCCTATCGCGCGGATTGGAAGCATCTGCTGCGACTAAAGCTTCATTCAGAGGGTATACACTGATTGGCATCTGTTTTATTTTTTGCATGTACATTCTAGTACGTCAGCACATTAACGTTTTCATTTCAACATCACGTAAAGTGGGCTTAGAACACATATCGTTTTGTACGCTATTGAACCAGTACTACTGATCTTGCTTGGGATTTGTTCAATTTCTTCGCGATTCCTGACGGCACTCTCGTCTTCCAGGACGAATGCGACGGATCGCGGCGGAATGTTGACGCCTGGATCTCTAAGCGTCTCCTCGAGCTCTCCGTCCTCGATGCTCCTTGACAAGCGGCGTCTTTCAGCGAGCGCTGATCCAAACGTACCCTTAAATAGACCTAGGAGTGCGTCAGACGATGAAGGGAACGATGGGCTTTTGGCACCCGCGACATTAACGGCGAAATCCAGAAGCTCTGAGGACGGCCTACTGCTACCACCACCGTGTACATGTCCATATTTCGGTAGCGAATCCACGCCGCCCAGACGCACGACTGACGTGATAATAGTGTCTGGCTCTGATATAAATGGTTGCAACGGGTTCCCACGCAACGGGAAAGGCGACGAGCCGTGCACACCGGTTTTCAGGCGTTCAAGTCGTGGTGCCTCTTCTATGGTCACTTGGGAAGAGGCAAGAAGGTTCAGACGTGGCTCCAGTTTCGGCGGTGCTAGGACGACCCTGTCAACGCCAATTAGGAACGTGCGCGCACAGAGACAGAGCACTCGCAACCAACAAACGGCGAACCCCAGCCCGCAAAGACAGACACCCAGAACGCACCACTCAAGGAACTCCAGCGTCATATCCAGAAACTCATCCAGGCACGGAAGGATCTTGCGCTTAGAGCAGAAGGCCACGAAGGTACTGGGCGTGGTATTCTTCACTTTCGTCGTGCTGTGGGCGCCGTTTTTTATACTCAACATGGTGCCGGCGATATGCTCGGATTGCGAGAAGAGGATATCCAGTTGGGTGTTTGACTTTGTCCTGTGGTTAGGCTATGCCAGTTCTATGGTGAATCCGATTTTCTACACGATATTTAATAAAGTGTTCCGACAGGCCTTCAAGAAGGTGCTGCTCTGTCAGTATTGTAAGTCAAAGAGGTAGCCAGCACCCTGGGAGCGCGTCCGTCCGGCATCAGATCCGGGTCTCGGAGCGCTCTCAGTCAATAGGAATGTTAGGTCACAGTTTGTATGAACTGTTTAGAGCTTTACGTAACTACGCTTCTAGATCGGTCTCATCGATGTTCGACTGAAAGTACATTAGCTTTTTACTGTACCACTAAGAAAATGTTATTTTACATTAGCTTTCAGTGAACTATTTATATACTTTTATTCACTTTTTTCATACCGTAAAATACTGCACAATTAAATGAAAAGAAATATAATATTTGATTTAATTTTTAAATTACATAGCCCACAATGAACGTGGTAATTTTAATAGATAAATTCAACGTAACCATTAGATATTTGTTATGCGGCTATCTTACATTCCAAAACTCATGTTTTAGATTTAATAATGCAAGGAAGAGTCGCGATGAATTATGAAAACGTATTCAGATTCATTCCCATTGAATCTAATCGTGAGCAAATGTAAATTTAAAATCTTTATTGTTAGAAATATAAAAATATATAGTCATAACGTGTAAGCCAATGCTAAATTATCACTAATGCAGCTTTTAATGAAGATAATGAAAGTCAACTCTAAATAAGTTTAAATGATTTTTAAGAAAATGAGAAATATATTTATAATCCAATTTTCGGATTCTATCGCATTTTATTATCACCGGGACAATATCACGGGACATACCGTGAACGTTGTGGATTCGAAACGTCTGAAATGTACAATCAAAAGAAAATCCGTAAAATAATTTCATTGAACCATAAGAAATCAATACTTTTAAGTTACAATAATAATAAGGTAAAATAAATGTCTTAAATGTTACAATAACAAAACAAATAAAAAAAGGTTAGATTTATAATTTATACGAAATTAAGGAATATAAATTCTAAGCTATAGTTTACCTGAGCAAGACAGACTAACATTATAATTAGCTAACTGGTTCTACCCTGTTTCTAAAGATAAAGGCCGATCTCAAATGTACAATCACAGCTTTAATTGTGTTTGGATTTTTTTTAATCTTGAAAAACATACAATGATTATGTTTTCTATAAAACCAAGACGGAAGATATGTAAATATTCAAAATAAATATATCGTATAATTTTGGTTTTATTATCATCTATGTTTTATGTATATAAGTATTACGTAGTAAAGATTAAAAAGTAGAATACAAGTAAAGGCATTAGATTATTTGATAACCTTATATCAAGTGTAATTTGTATATCTGTTACTAATTATAACAATTGGAATTAAATTTACTATTAACGAGTACTTAATATGGTATTTCCCGGAATAATATTCCGGGAAATACCATACCATATAATAGAATATAATTAATAAATGAAACAAGTTGTCCATTACCTATGAATATTTTTTTATGTTTAATTTAAAGAAAATTGTGTTATTAAAATTTAATATGACATATCATAAAAATATTATATTTATTTTTAAGTTTAAAAAATAATGTTTGCAATATAAAACGTAGTCCAAATTTTGTATAGACATTATTTCTCTAAAAAGTCTTAATAAAAGTCATAGAACTCAATAGAATTTAAAGATTTAAATCAGTAGAGAAAAACTTATTATTATATAAATTATATTGTATAAGTAAATAATTTGTAACAAATAAACTTAAAACAAGATAAAACTTTCCTATTAGTTAGAAGACATAGGATGGTCAAGTTTATCTTGTTGACATAAAAATACTCAAAAAGTCAATGGATGCATTGGTCGATTTCAATTTTTTACTAAACAGCAAAATAACTCGATCTAGATTCCATAATTTTGTAATTGAAATTAAAAACGTAGACGTATACTAAATATGAGATAATGTTTATTGTGGGAATTGTCTATAAATATTTAACAAGTTGACGGAAGTATGTGAACGATAAAAAAAGAAATATCAATAAATCGATAAAATCGTAACGTGTTTTTTTGGTCTTGTAAACAACAGAAAATTAAATTATCCCCAAAGAAAGTGGTAACAGTTTTAACGAGAAGGAAAATTTCTAAAGAAATAATTACACCACTATTACAGTTAATATACAAAAACAAGCATTTAAACAAATAATAAAAACAAATGAACGACTTACCGCATTTGTACGAATAATGCAGCAGAAACCATAACGCATCAATATTATTAGTGCTTTAGTGCACGGACACATCTAGCAACGCAATCATGAATTCACTTCGCGCTTGAAATTGTACGTTCATTAATTAATGTACGTACATTGTGCGGGTCGTTAACTTGTGACACCCATGTGCGTACTACACCAGTGAAATATAATCCATCGTTGATTTCGCTTATAATCGAGGGGATAATAAAACGCGCGGTGATGCGATAGAAGAATTTATTGCCACTAATACGTTCGCACGCTACACGCACCCTTTGTTTAGAAGCAATCTATATATAATATTTTATTCCCCTTTTCATCTATACACATCTATACATTAATAATATAATTTCAATTGATAGAGAATATACATAATTTTAAATGTTGGTAAGTTTAAATTCAAATATCATTACTATTTATAAAACGAAAACTTTTTTGCTTAAACTTAACATTCAAGTTGACAACCCACGATTTTACGTAATACCGAGAAGTAAAATTCTAACCATCATAGTTTATACAGTAAACCAGCAATAGTTTTCTTCCAGTTACATATATGCAGACTATTCTGGTGGCATATGTTGTAAAAATTATACCAAAAACCGGTTAATGTTAGTATGAAAGGTGAAACCATATAATTCGTTACCTACTTTTATTCTTTAGAAACAGTCTTATAGCTACCATCAGTTATCGATTATTAGAATGACATACTACTAGAAAATTGATGACATTAATATTTAATATTAGAAAGCGAAGTAGGTAGTACATTAGTGCATTACTTAATTATTGTCACATGCAAGCAATGATAGTTAAATTTAGTCGATGTTAATAAATTATTACCAGTTTTGGTAATGATATTCTCATTGTAATGATATCTTTTTTAGTTACTGTAAAATGTTTTGACGCATTTTATTATTAAGAACTAGTGTATTATAAAAATTTTGAAAACCTCATTCAGTCTGTGACCACTAATTATGTACGAAAAGGGTTTAGGACTTGAGAAATTTTAAACAAATCTGATTCTTCCTCTTCCTACGGTGAATCTCCTACATGACGGCTAGTTTCAACTTTTTAAAAAAAACGTCTTTTAAGCTTTGCCAACTAGCTCAGGCACGATCCTGCATTCCGGTCCATTTTCGAGTAATGTAATTTTTTAACCATGACTTTTTTCTTTGACACATGTTTCTTTTGCCAACGGGTTTACTTTATGATTTTTAATATTTCTTATAGCTTTTTAAACTACTTTTTGATGGTTCAGTCCATACAATACGATGGATTAGTCGCAGCAGTGTAATAAATGTGTATCGCGATGTTAATGCACCGACTAGAACAGAAGAAGAGAGCCTACCCCTACCTCAAAGGCCAGCAACGCAATTGCGTCACAATTGCGACTCCTCTGATGTTGCAAGTGTCCATGGGAGCTTGCTATAGCTTATCATCAGGTGGCCCTCGTTTGCCTCCTTTTTCCATAAAAAAAGATAAAAAATATTTAAAACGTTTAATATTGTAATAAATGTACAAAGTCATTTAACGTAGAAAATTTTGGTGTTCTGGTAAAATTTACAAGAACACAATTTACACTAATAATAATTTCGAATAAAAATATAAGATATGATCCATTATGAGGCTTTAGCAAAAACAGTGTTCGGATTAATTTGCCAATATCTCCCCTCTGTACCTATCATCAGTAATGGTACGGTATAATTATCTCATTTATTAAACTTAATGAGTTTTTAAAGATTATATTGAAATAACAAAAAATTTGAAATTTTTAATACTTGTTTTCTTTTTACGAAAAATAAAAAAGTAGATAGATACGTCTAAACTATAAGTGATGACGTGATGATTAAATAATGTTAAAAGTTTATATCCATCAAAGCCAATATTTTTAAAGTTTCAACTTAATTTTTACCTTTTTGTACCAGATGCGTTTTTAATTTCTTTTATAAAAAATATATTATTGATGCACTAAATTACACACATACATTATTGATATATTATGACACAACTATTAGCAACTTTTGCACATTAATAGCAACTTTATGAAATCGAACAGATATTTTTACTACTCTTGAAATAAATTTTTTAACTTTTAATGTTTTTTTTTTAAATGTGCTGACGGAATAGTCTTCAATGTTTCACGAAAGGGCAGGTCCGTCATGAGAAGTACGCGCGCGAGGTGTAAGACTTCTGCGATCCGTCTGGTGAGTGAGGAAATCGGGCCCACTTTTTACGAGGTGGCAACGCATCTGCAACCATGAAAGACAGTTATGTGATGGGGTTGTCATCTTAGTAGGCTCTGCGGACGAGCAACCGGCGACTGAAGACTGTATTTTTAGTCGCTAGCTGGGAGCGGTGAGAACCTCCCTAGGATACGAGTCTAGTGTGCGACGTAGGTCGGTTTGGTTTTTAAGTGCTCGCAACTTAGGGCGAACAACACTACTTATGTTACGTTGTTTTTGGAGTGGAAAAAACGGCTAGTTACTAAATAATTAAATATAATATAAATAAATAATATATAACTAAAGTCATTGTCGAATAAGATGAAAATTATTGCTATTTTATTAACTCTTATTCGCTATATGATTTGACATTTTAGTGTTCGTTGTAAGATTATCGAAATGAATATTCCGGATATGGAATCCATATTTTTAAATCGTTATACGAGAAACAATTCTTCTGGTATTTATATTCGTACCCTTACATCTGCGTCTTTCTTATGTATAAAAGGAGTGTGAAGAAATAATGCTCAAAATTTTTGAAGTCTTTATTGTAGATGATAATCAAAAATATTCACACCAATACAAGACATTTGAGTTGAGTTTCAAAAGAGTTATTGATTTAGCTATAACCAGTAAACAATTTTAACTATT